GAAAGAACTGTAACCCCTTAAACTGTCCATAGCTATGAAAAGTCCACCAGGGGGAAAAAGGTAAGTTTCCCACCAATCATGGTCTGTAAGAAGTGCAACTCCTCTTCCTGTCCATAGCTATGAAAAGTCCACCAGTGGGAAAATGGTAAGTTTCCTATCAATCATGGTCTGTAAGAAGTGTAACTCCTCTTACTGTCCATAGCTATGAAAAGTCCACCAGTGGGAAAATGGTAAGTTTCCCATCAATCATGGTCTGTAAGAAGTGTAACTCCTCTTACTGTCTATAGCTATGAAAAGTCCACCAGTGGGAAAATGGTAAGTTTACGGACTTACAGAACTAAAACCTGGTTTCCATTCCCCGCGGTATACACAGCAAATAGCCCAATGTGGCTTGGTTCTAAAACAAACAAACAAACAAGTTATGGAAACTTCTACATCATTTGTGCACACAGTCTACTGTCCCATTCTCTAGATACGTGATGTTTTCTCATAATGTATATGGTTATTGATAAGGGTCACATAGTTGTGCTTTATTGTTTTCTGTATACAGAAGACCACTTGGTTGGGATTCATTGTTTTCTGTATGCACAAGGTCACTTGTTTGTGATCCATTGTTATCTGTATGCATAATGTCACATGTTTGTGATTCATTGTTTTCTGTATACACAAAATCTACACCGTACATTAATAAGTGTATGTATGTATGTTTTGCATACTAGTTTAACCTCAGTCCAACCACTTATATTTATAGTGTTTGGTGAATGTATAAAATGAACCTGACTCATATAGCGTATGTGTGTGTGTGTATATATAGAGTTATTTGTCTTCAGTATGTTTAAAACAAGTTTGATGAACCACATATAAAAGAATAATCCATTACTGTAAAAGATTTATTGTGAAACGTTAATAAACGTAATGTGCCGTGCCTAATACGTAAAACTTTTTCTTAATTGCACAAGGAAGCATCAGAACGAAATCGTGAAAATAATAAAGATAATTCAAATTTATGCGTTTTCTATGGTTATAGAAACTTAATTTGTCACTTTTTTACATAAAGGCCAACTAAATTATAGGTATCAATATTAATTATACAGCATGATTTTGTAACGTTTATGTAAGTTTGTAATAAACGATTCTTGACGGGGAATAAATCAACTTTAAATATTTTTGATAATCTGTATTTGAAAAAAAAAACTTTCAAATATAGTTACTCACCTAAACAAAGTATGGCACATTTCAGAATTCTCTATTATACTAATCCATTGATCATAAAAAAGGAAATTTATGTGATAATGAGGTGACTTTCAATCGTGGTTTTTAAATATTTCGAAAACGTTTTTATGAGCACTCCCCCCAGAAAGGGGAATGATTATTCTAGTGGTACGATTCTGTGTTTTAAGCCTTCTAAAGTCAAAGTATTCAACATTTACGGAAATTAGTTAATTTGTAATTGATATGTTCTATTAATAGCCTTAATATAAACATGTTCTCAAACGTTCAAATATTTTGGTTAGCGAGTAAAGTTGATCACTTCTTAGAAGATTACAGTACAATTCTAAAGTAAAGTTGTTGTTTTTTCGTGATTATAAAAGTAACAAATAATTATATTTTGCGTTTCAAAGAAAGAGGATATGAAAAGTGTTGAATCGTATAGGTAAAGCCTAGTAAAGTGTTATTCCAACTGTATAAAAACGGGTTATTCCACTACTGGCTACCAGTCACATACTGGAGGCAGTAAAAAAAGTTAAATACCTTGTTACCAATATTAATCCAAAAATACATCGGTCCATTGCAACTAGAGTAGTAACCTCCCTAAGAAATGAGGCAAGATAAATCAAACAAATATTTCAATAAGGGATAAAATGTTTTTTTTAGGAACCATCTGCACTTGCAAATCACCATACTTGAACGAAACTGTAACAACAGAGTCAGGGATTTTAACATCTGAAGTTATCTCAGGCCACTTTAATGGCCAAGTTCAAGATGATTGGATATACAAATTGTTGCTATTGGTTGTGAACAACCTTCTCTATTACCTAATTTAGTTTCCTTTTCTTCATTTACCTAATTGTAGGCATAATAACTAAAAGGAAAACATCTAAATAGATATAGTTTGAAAGTGATTTTACCACTTTACTACCCAGCTCATTCGAAACTACTATTATTAGTTTTAATATACTAAGACAGTACAAATAGAAACTACCAGCAATAACGCCGTATGTTTAGCCAACAGTTTTTAAACTTATTTTTTGTATTTGCTGTTAAGCATAAAGCTACACAGTGGGCTATTTGTGGTCTGTTCACAGCGTGCATCGAAACCCAATTTTTAATCTTTGACTTATTATGCCAGTGAATTCGAGATGCTTTTTGTGGGTGCACAAAATATTTACTTTCTTTCTTGTAAAAAAACAACCCTTACCTCGTTTTTATTGTCCTTGACATATAAAGTGTTAACATTAATAGTGTAAACCTTAGACTTCCGACGAAGTCCTTCCAGAGACATCTTGGTGGAGAGTACGTGGTTAAGAAAGATTTTGATAAAGGTGTTCGAATCTTGTTTCAACTTTTCCAGCAGTCCAGTTGGCAGACGAGATAAAGCATTGTTTGACGGAAGTAGTAAGGTGTTTGGACCTAAGAAATAAACAATGAAACAATTATGTCACAAATAAAATATAAAATACGCCTCATCAATATTCCCCTAAACATTAAATAACATTTGTTGTTGCTTGTTTTCCAACAATCATATTCGAGAAATTATTAATAGGATAATTGTAGTGTTTTAGTTCCCTTTCACGGTGAACCTATGTTTATATAGGATCTGATGCTACTAATTTATTCTTCTAAATAATTCAATAGAAAAGCTCTTTAAGATACTAATAATAAATATGAAACCCAGTATATCACTCGAATAATAGATTGAACTATATATTTATGTTAAGTAGTATGATTAATTAAGCCTTACGTAGAGGACTAATGCAACACAGATTATATTCTCAATTTTACCTTTGGTGAAAATAACAATACGTTTGTAATATAATCGTTAATTAAACACTTGGTCTACTGTATAATAATAATAAATAATAAGGCACAGTGATATAATATCATTCACACACCTATATTAATTTAAGTTACTTAAAAACTAATATTACTAACAAAGACAGCGAAAATAAGTGTATTATCCATTCATGTTATGCAACTCTGGCAATATGTTAAATCCACTCAATGCAACTCTGATTACTTGCAACGATAAGAAAATATAACAATATTTCAAATCCATTTAATATAACTCTGATTACTAACAACACCAGGAATACATGTTAATATTTTAAACCTTATATTAATTCAAGCTGTAGCTTGGTTAATTCTTCCCACAGTTCTATAACTAGCAGGACTAACTTTGGTAGGCCTACTTGGGGTGGTCTGGGATTGCCCTTATTTACATATTGTAGTCCCACTACCAAGAAGGACTAAAACACCCCGGGAAGATCACCCAGTCTTTATTTGGCTCTAGAAGTAGGTTTGTAGAGTCGCCGAACCTGAATCTGGTATCAGATTTTGCGTCCTTGTCTTTGGCTTTTTATGTATTTCTGTATTTTTGTACAGCTAACCTCCTCCCACAGTTTGGAAGCTAGCAGATCCAAACTTGGCAGGCGGAGTGAGGGTAACCCGGGGGAGTCCTTACTATATAGAGAAAGGTACCAAGTGTGCTAAAACGCACCAGAAAGGTCACCCAGGCATGATGGGGTCTGCTAAGGGTAGGTTTTCAGGGCCGATGCACCCCATACTGATATAGTATTTTGTGTTCTTCCGATGTCTGAAACTGTGTTCATAATCCTCCGTTACAAGCTAGCGGGATCAAACTTGGCACACGTGCACAAGTATCCCAAGCGGATGTCCCAACTAGCTTTTTTGGACACCCCTCCCCCCGTCTTGGGGTAACTATAAAAGCAATTTGGTATAATGGAAACGCTTGATCCATACGTTATGTCCTTTGTTAATCACGAAGGAGCCTTCGAATTCCACAGAGGAGCGCGGCTACGTTTGATAGCCCATTTAGTTCTTATTTGCAATACTAGGAAAATATAATTTGCGAGTTGATTTTTAGATTATAGGATACAAAAATTTAGTCAATTATTAGTTATTTATAATATCTAACAAACTCAAGTATCAATATTAACAACACTATAGAAGAAACAACCCGTTATAAATATTTCGTTTCAACCAAAAGGGAGGTTAAAATCGCTTTCAAAACAATTTTATTAGTCTTATCCTTTATCGAAACTTGTGTGTTAATATAAGCACGTTACTAAGCTCTCAAACGTACCACTAAATCAGTGAGGAGAGGAAGAGCATTACGGATAACACTGTAAAAAAAAACACATCCTATCCCTCTCAGGATTTTAACAACTTTTTGTACACTGTATGATTTTATGAGTTTAGGATTCTTTGTTTACATACTTATGTAGAAGTACTTCCAGCCTTTCCAGTTCATAATACAATGTTATAATATCGAAGTTTTTAATTTGTTACCCACGGCTCAATACTGACTGTCTTATATACCTTATTTGCTTTCATAGTTTACTTGGGTGAGAAAACAAAATAATCTTAAACTTTTGTGATATTGTATTAGGATGAACTGCTTTTTGCTGCATTATTAATTGCTTGCAATCACTGTAAGAATACATTTTTGAGTCAGTATTGGGTGATCTTTTCAATTTATTCTTGTGCACTTAATGACTGTGAGATTCTGAAATATCTTCCTAGTTTTTGTAAAAAATAATTGCTATACTTTATTAGCATCCTTCTAAACAAGAGAAATACGGATATTTTTTTTTCTAAACATTGATCTTACCTTTAGCTGATAAAAATGTAATGATGCTTTCTTCATCGAAAGGGATCAAAGTGAAAATTATATCTGCCTCTAGAGCAGCTGCAGCTTGTTTCAGACTAAGGGAGTCAATACTAGATGGAATCCTAGTCTGTGGAGAGCAGCTGGGTTTACATGTACAGAATTCTTGATCAACATTCTTTAAACTTGAGGGGGCATCTTGGCGCCTTGGGAACTGTGGAGGAAATTCCACCAATGGCTGGTTGTTTGTTGGTTGAATTAATACTGGAGCAGCTACTGGTGATGTCTGATTTACGGGTTGTTTCGGTTCTTGAGGAATAACTGCTTCATGGTGACTTACTGGTTGTACTGGTACTTGTGGAATAACTGATTTTTGCAGATTTAATGATTGTTCTGGTTCTGGGGAAATAACTGATGGTTGTAACTTTACTGGTTGTTGTGGTTTTTGTAGAATAGCGGATGATTGCTGATTTAATGGTTGCACTGGTGCTTGGGGAATAGCCAGTTGTTGTTGATTTACTTGTTGGTCTGCTTCATGGTGACTTACTGGTTGTACTGGTACTTGTGGAATAACTGATTTTTGCAGATTTAATGATTGTTCTGATTCTGGGGAAGTAACTGATGGTTGTAACTTTACTGGTTGTTGTGGTTTTTGTAGAATAGCGGATGGTTGCTGATTTAATGGTTGCACTGGTGCTTGGGGAATAGCCAGTTGTTGTTGATTTACTTGTTGGTCTGGCACTGAGGGAATAAATGGTAATTGCTGATTTACTGGTTTTACTGACTGTTGAAAATCAACTGATGAATGCTGATATATCTTCTGCTCCAATACTGGAGAAATAGCTGATGGTTGAGGATTAACTGGTTGCACTGGTTCTTGGAGAATAATTGATGGTTTCTGATTTAGTGGTTGCACTGGTTCTTGGAAAATAACTGATGGTTGCTGATTTACTGGTTGGGTTGGTTCTTGAAAAATAAATGATGGTTCTTGATTTATTGTTTGCACTTGTATTTGGCTAGTGATTGATGGTTGTTGATTTACTGGTTGCACTGGTGCTTGAGAATTAACCAGTGGCTGCTGATTAACTTGTTGCTTCGATATTGGAGGAATAACTGATGATTGCTGATTTATTGGTTGTTCTGGTACTTGAAGATCTACAGGTGGTCTATGATTTATTGGTTGTTCTGGTACTTGAAGAGCAGCAGGTGCTTTCTGATTTATTGGTTGTTCTGGTACTTGAAGAGCTACAGGTGGTCTCTGATTTTCTGATTGGAATGATATTGGAAGAAAAGACGGTTGTTGTTGATTTACTGGTTGCACTGGTGCTGGAGAAATGACTGATGCTTGGTGACTTATTGATTGGACTGATATTTGGCGAATAACTGATGGTTGATGATTTATTGGTTGATTTAACAAGGCTTGTTGAACATACTTCTCGCCAGGGGCAGGCTGTGGAGTTTTGAAAACTGTTGGTTGGTCGATTAGTTGAGGCTGAATATTTGCTGTTGATGTTTCTAAAATGGCTCGATAACTATCATTGTTTTGGGTGTTACTAATCGGTCTTTGGAAAAACCTCCGATTTAAGGTAGTTATTTTCCTTTTTGTTTGTTGGCCACTCTGTTTTTGATAATCATAACCGAACGTTTTTGATTTTTGTTTTTCATGTTTGATATTTTGCTGTTGTTGTTCGCTTTCCTGTCTATGGTGTTGTCGCTGGAAATTTAAAATTTCTGCTTGTTGAGGAACGTTGAAATTAAATTTGTTTTGGTTTCGATGACGTGGAAAAACAGTCAAAGTCCTTTCTAGCTGGTGTTGTTTATAACCTTCTCCTTTTTGTTGCAGGTTTTCATATTGTAGTGACCCGTTGAACAACTGGACCGACCCGGCGTTTAACCTTTCCCAAATCTCCCTAGGTAATTGTGATTTTGGTAAGAGAAAATAGTAAGACCTGCTGGTCACTGGTCGGTGACCGCTTTTGAATATTATAGGCTTCGGTTTAGTTGATTCCCGTAAAGTGCCTCCAGCAAGCCCGTTTTCAACTAAGTGAAAAAGAATAATTACATTAACTATAATATATTTAGCTGCCACTACAGTTCTCATCTTCTTTCGTCCTTTTGAAAACTGACCCACTATCCCAGTGCTTACTTTTATAGATGTTAGGCACGTGATATTTATGAGCTTCTCTGAACCAATGGGCATCGTGAAGAAAGTATTGATACTACTGGCTATCTGACTGACCCACATTCCGTCATTCTTCGTCTCCCTTTTAGTGTTTTCCTTCGATTTCACAATGTCTGTAATCTAAATGTTGGGTATCGTACAAACTACTATAAAATGTACGTTTTATCAGACATCTTTTTTATTTCACTTTGTCAACTAACAGGCGCGATCTTGTGTTAATCAAGTGAAGATTGTCTTAGAACTTGTGAATTAATTAATTATTCTTAAAATCTTGTAATTAGGTATAACTAATAAGTAATTTAATAAATGTTTGTAATTTAAGACTTTAACATCGTAAGGTCAATAATCACGATCAATCTAAAATAGAGCTAAGTGAAATATAGATTTAAAGCGTTTTCTTTAATTCAAGCTATCTATTTAGCAAAATTTGTTCATGAAATTGGGACCCGGTTGTCGATTTTACAAACTCCATAATCAATGTTCTCTGCTTAACTAAAATCCTGTATAAAATCATTCTAAGCACAATTGTTATTCTATCAAAAATAAATTATCAATTTTTATGCAACACCCAATAAGCACTGTTAGATTTATTTTTAGTTTCACAGCTGTTACTGTGCATTTAAGTTATATGATGAAGTAGGTGTAGGTAGAAATTAGCCTAAGAGACACAGTTGGCAAACTGATAAATTGGAGGAAAATGAAAAGTTGGTATTTCTGTTAATGTTTGTTTGTAATTAAGTACAAAGCTACACAATGGGCTATCTGTGCTCTGCCCACCACGGGTATCGAAACCCGGATTCTAGCGTTGTAAGTCCGCAGACATACCGCTGTGCTACTGGTGGGCATTTCTGTTAATGTAATGAGACGTATCTTGCTCTTATAAAATAAGTATGTAAGCAAGTATAGTTACTAAGGTTTTAATTTGTTATTATTATTTATTTATTATGACACAAATTTTCAGACAAAAGAGCAAAAACCTCAACTTTGAAAAGTGAAACTGTTGTTATAAAAGAATTAGGTTTCAAGTGCTTTATTTCTACATAAATTATTAATACTCACATGGAACTAATTTTCTTACCTTAGTTACCAATAACACAGCATTGTTGTTACTCTTCGTTCTGTTTACGACTCAGTTTGAGCACGACACTTACGAACAGAAAATATTACAACAACTATCGACGTATACTCAAAATACATTAATAAACCAAAAGTTATAGACCATAATAATTGCAGTGAATAGTTACTTAATTCCTCAAGTACCTTTTAAACAATAACACTACTGATAATCCGTAGTTGGGTTTAATATGAGCTATCTTTCGGTCAGAAGCTAAAACATACCACAGAGAACAACGGTCCATCTGCGTAGAGAAGAGAAGAATAAATAGAAATTTCCACCTATCAGGATTAGAATTTAGGTCTATTTGGACCTGGAAGGGTCAGGTGAAATGATTACCTCTTCCTTGGCTGTTGATTTATTTTATTTTAAGTTATTCTTGAAAATGCTATCATGAGGGTCACAGATCGCTTGGTTTCTCTGATTGTTATTTCGTCATGACCCCGAAGGATCAGGTATATCCTGGGCTTCTACCTCTCTCCTTAGCTGTTGTTTAATTACATGACCCCGGAGGATCAGGTACATCCTGGACTTCTACCTCTCTCCTTAGTTATCGTTTAATTACATGACCCCGGAGGATCAGGTACATCCTGGACTTCTACCTCTCTCCTTAGCTGTTGTTTAATTACATGACCCCGGAGGATCAGGTACATCCTGGACTTCTACCCCCTCCTTAGTTATCGTTTCATTACATGACCCCGGAGGATCAGGTACATCCTGGACTTCTATACCCCTCCTTAGTTATCGTTTCATTACATGACCCCGGAGGATCAGGTACATCCTGGACTTCTACCCCTCCTTAGTTATCGTTTCATTACATTACCCCGGAGGATCAGGTACATCCTGGACTTCTACCCCCTCCTTAGTTATCGTTTCATTACATGACCCCGGAGGATCAGGTACATCCTGGACTTCTACCTCTCCTTAGTTATCGTTTCATTACATTACCCCGGAGGATCAGGTATATCCTGAACTTCTACCTTCCTCCTTGGCTGCTGTTATTTGATCATGAGTCCCTGAAGGATTATGTAGTCGATGTAACCCACATTATTCTCTGATATTTTCGGTCCTGTAGCTAGGAAAAATCTGTTTTAACATCATGCAGCCACTGCATACGTACTACAATTATTCGCAGATTATCTCGCACGCGAATGCCCCTTGTATGTTTTATATGTTTTGAGTATGTTTTCTTTTGTTGCGCCCCTGTTGTTGCCAGTCAGATATCATACGTAATTTGCTCTTTGCCAGATTTTATTTCTAATTTCCTTTATGTATTTATCCAATTTAATTTATATTCGTAGATTAGACCCATGAATGTTGACTGATGTGGCTACCTGGAGATTTTTGATTTTATGAATAATAAGGTTTGTGTTTTAGGGGCGTTTATCTTGATTCTCCATTTGTTACAGTAATTTTCTATTTATTTTAACCGTGGTTGTAGATTTGTTGCTGCTATACTTGGAGTGAAGGAGCTCTTTCAGATAGCCACATCACCCGCAAACTGGGAGCAGAAGCAGAAATTTGGATCAGACAGTGGCATTTCACTCACATACATGATGAATAGAATAGGGCTAACTACCCTTCCTTGCGGGACACCTGCCTCCGGTGTAGAATATTCCGAGAAGGTGCCCGACACATTAATTCTAGCTTTCCTGTTGTCTAGAAAGCTGTAAAGCCAGCGAATATACCTCGCGGTAATTTCGTTTGTGACAATCGATATTTCAATCTGTCGTGCCATCTAGTGTCGAATGCTTTCAAAACATCGAGAAAGTAAGCAACAGTGTATTCATGTCGGTTAAAAACTGTCTACTATTGTTTCTGTAAATCTTACCAGATGATCTGTTGTTTATTTTTCTTCCTAAATCCGTTTTGTATTTCCGGTGATTTCGATGTCAGTTCGAGATATAAAAATAGGATTTGGAAATGGTAGAAAAAAAAAGACATGATTGAGTTCTTAATCATTAATGTAACAGCTTTATGATTTTAAAGCAGAAGATCTGGTAGTGTATATTAGGGTTTAGGAATATTCCTGATGATGCTAAAAAAATCGTTGAAACTCCATACGTTATTTTGCGTGACTGTGAGTTTTATCAGTCTGTTTCAGGTGACTGTGAGTTTTGTCGATGTGTTTCAGGTGGCTGAGTTTCATCGATGTGTTTCAGGTGACTGTGAGACTTATCGATATATTTCATGCGACTACGAGTTTTGTCGATGTGTTTCAGGTGACTGTGACTTTTATAAAGGTGTTTCAGGTGATTGTGAAATATATCGATGTCTTTCAGGTGACTGTGAGATTTATCGATGCCTTTCTTTTTTTTTATGCATTAAAAATGCCCTCTTTGTTGATGAGCCACTGTCAATTTAATGTTCTCTATGCGTTACTTGTTAGTAATTTCTTGACACTCTTGTAATGGGAATCCTTTTGCAAACTTTAAGTAAAGCCAAAAGCTTTATACAAGTTGCATGCTTCGAATAGCAGTTTGAGGCCAAATAGCTTATTAAGGGCCAGTATTGCGAATTATTTAAACGTGCAGCTCAGAAGGGTGCTACTATATACTCACAATGGAATAAAGATGTTTTTTTTTAATTAAGAATGTGCATTTTGTTACAAAACATTTAGCGTGGTGTTTTGTAAACTCTCATGGAAAGTGTTTCAATGAATTCTAGATAAAGTTGTTACTTGAAACTCCGAAAATAAGAGTTGTAATGAGTTCTTCACATAGGTGTTAATTTACTTATGAAAGGTTTTAGTAAACACTTCTGAGATAATTATTGTAACGAGCTTTCCACACAGGCGTTATCATAAACACTTATCAAAGCCTCAGAGGTTTTGCTAAAAACTCCGAATATAGCTGTTGTAATCAGCTCTCCATAGAGGCGTTACTACAAACACTGAAGAAGGCCTCTGTTTACAAGCCGAAACGTCGTCTCCTTTTCTTTCAATAGGCAGTTGCAGTCCCTCAATGTTTTCAAACCTATTATGTCTACTCTGCCTAAAGTTCCACTGAAACAACTAAAACACTTAAAGGTTTTGCTAAAACCTCCGAAGAAAACTGTCATCTGAATTCTCCACACAGTTTGATTAACCTACCGAAAATATTAAAAAGGGTTATCCCTTTACATTGTAACATTTCTAAGAGTATTGTTATTTTTATTTGACATCTAGAGATAGATAAGATAATTAAGAAAGGGTGTCATGTTATTAAATAGAGAACTATGTTTTTACTGTCCAACTATGTTAAGAATTGTGTTATGATTTTTAACACTTTACTAGTGTCAATAAGGGTTTTCGTTGTATATTCCAACATTATTAAGAAGAGTTTCATGATTCAAGTTCAAATGCATATGTAAATTAGCCAGTCTATGTTAATAACGTATATTTCGTTTCTCATTTTCATCCACAATATTAGCCAGTTGTTTTGCTTAAACTCCGACAATAATAAAACAATGCCACGTTTCAATTACATTCCACATTTGATACCGTTAATAATTAGTTTTTTCTTTACATTCCTAAGATGTAAAGGAATGCACTAAGTTTCCTTTATATCTGAACAGTGTTCTGTAGTGTAACGCTCAATGAGCCAACCTACGTGAACATAATATGTAACTTTATAACCTACTTAGAATAAGATTCATAGATAACAAACTTGCAGGATACATTTTTAGAATACCTCAACGAGTGAAACCAAACGTAAATACACGCATACTACGTGAATGACCGATTTAGAATCGTGTTTTTATAAGTATGTACCTGATCGGCTCGTGTAGTAAACAGTTTGAAAATGAACAATCTACCAGCCACGTGAATCTCCATGAAAGTACAGTGCAATTCTAAAACTATTCTTTCTGATATTTTACCATTTACTGCAGATCAGCAACAATGGAAGTGTAGCTTTGATATTAGCCGTCCTGATATTATTTTACCATTTACTGCAGATCAGCAGCAATGGAAGTGTAGCTTTGATATTAGCCGTCCTGATATTATTTTACCATTTACTGCAGATCAGCAACAATGGACGTGTAGCTTTGATATTAGCCGTCTTGATATTTTACCATTTACTGCAGATCAGCAACAATGGACGTGTAACTTTGATATTAGCCGTCCTGATATTTTACCATTTACTGCAGATCAGCAACAATGGACGTGTAGCTTTGATATTAGCTATCCTGATAT